GGGGACCGCGCCGCTGCGTCGGGAGAGGCGGCCGGGGGCGGCCGGGGGCCCGGGCGACGGCGGCGCCTTCCCGGCGAGGCTGGGCGAGCGAGGAGCGGCGGGAGTCGGGGCACGGGCCGCGGAGGGGGCGGCCGTGGCGGGCCGCGCGTGCAGGTCCTTGAGGAAGGGTCTGGCGGGCGAGGGCGCGCGGTGCAGCCGCCTCCTCTCGGCCAGCGGGTGCAGGTGGTGGTGGCGGTGATGCTGGCCGGCTGGCTGCGGCTTGGCGTCCGGGGCGCCGCCGCCCGCGGGGCCGTTCAGCGTCTCCATGGCCCGGGCGGCGGCGGCGGCGGCCGCGATCCGCAGCTCGGGCGGCAGATGCTCCGGGCGGCGGCGGCGGCGGCGGCGTGCAGCCTCCCCGCGCGCCCGGTCATCACTGACCCCCTGCCCCGCCCGGCGTGCGCCCCGCGCTCCCGCCGTCCCCTCCCCCGCACTCGGCCAACCCCGGGGGAGTTCCTCTCCTCCCTCGCTCGCTCGGGTCAACGGCGCTCCGGTTCTCCTGACACAGCCGCCGCGGCCGCTCGCATCCCCCTGCACGGTGCGTTCAGGGCTCTGGGGTGCAGCCGCCGCGGCCTCGCACGAAAAAATAAAAAATAAAAAACACTTGTCTGGCGGCTCGCGCCCGGCTCCCGCGTTCCGCTCCCCGCCCACTGCCGGTCCGCAGGGAGCGGCGGCCGCGGCTTCTGCCCGGCGCCTCAGGCAGAGAGGAGCTGCACGCGCGTTCCCCTCCGCCCGGAGCCCGGCGCGCACGCCCCGCCCCCTGCCAGCCGGCCCCGCCCCGCCCCCTGCCAGCAGGCCCGGCGGGGAGGCGGGGCGGGCAGGAGGGCGGGGCCGAAGCTCGGCCCGGACGCAGAGCCCGCGTGCCTACCCGCCCTCGCCGCCAAGGACCGCTCTTTGCCTTTGGATGCACTGGGGCTACCAGCCAGAGCTGGCTAGGAAAGGAAGAAGCCGGGGGTGACGGGAGGGAAGAGGGCGAGCGTCGGCCGCTTGGGGACGCAGAAGGTGCTCTGCAGTGGGTGCCAGCTTTCTCTGCGCTTGGCCCAGCCCCCTCTATCCGACTCCTGCCACCCGTCCTCGGTTCGCCGCCGCTCTCCCCGGGGCTTCTTTAAGGCTCACTGGTACCGGATGCAGCGTCAAGGCCGGCACGGCGCTCCACAGTTGGCACCCCCAGTGGCCTGGGCAGCTCCGAGAGGGAGGAGCCGCTGTAGAAATAGGAGAAGCGGCTCTCCCAGCTTGGGGTCTGAAAGGGAGCTCACATTTATAGTTACGGCGGCGGCCCCGAGCCAGGCACTGCTGCTGCTGCCCGCTTTACCGTTCCGGTAACAGTCCCGAATTGGAAATCCCGTCTTCAGAGTGCGACACGGGCGCGAGGCCGGCTGAACCTCCGTGGCGGAGCCGGGAATCAAACCTAGGCCTGCACGAGTCTCAGCCACGTGCGTTCGCCTTAGCGCACCGAGGAACCTGAGTACGGGTTCAGCTCCCTGGGCAAGGCACTTGACCTGAATCTCGGATTCCTTCCTCACCTGTAGGATCAGAGAAAACAGAATCTGGATGTATCCGGACTAAATGAACAACTAGCAGGACGCACCTGCCGACTGTGAAGTGCTTTTGACAGATGCTAAGTGTGGAGAATGTCCCAGGCTTTGGATGCTGGGTAATAAGTGTCCTGACGACAAGCCCGAGCCGTCCTCTATCTAGCCATGGCGTTTGGGGAAGCAAAGGTAGACAGGAGAAGGTGCCAGCGGGGAAATCCTGTGTTTTCCTAAAGGACACTGACCTTGCAGGGGAGAGATCAGTTCGCAGCACGGTGTAAGGGCAGCGGGGCTTAGACCTAAGGCTGGACAGGCGTGGAAATGTTAAAGGAAAATTGTGCTCCGAAGTCTGTAATCTTAGGAACCGAATGACCCTTCTTAGCCTGAACTGTCCGAAGCTGCAGGAGAAACCGGGGGTTTGTTTTGTTGTTGTTTGTTTGTGTAAATGAGGAAAGCTGTGCACTTCCGACAGAAGTCTTGTTAGGGCTTGAGCTCAGACCCGCGGGAAACCTCCCCACTCTGCTGCACTTACAGGCCTGGACTTTGCAAAGCACTTTTCTGGAAATCTTCTGAAAGTGAGACACACCAAATATAATCCGTAACCCGAATCCTTGGAGGGAAAAGACACTACTTGGTTAGGTTGTGGGCCAGGGAAGAGAATAGAAGCCGACAGTCACGCTTGGCTAGCCATGTCCACTAGAGGGCGCTCCAGACCCCTCAGCGGGGTGACTGCAGTCCGCTGCCCGTGACCTAGAACTCCTACACCCTCACATCCCTGAAGGATTATGTCCAGAACTCTTAGCACAGCTGGTCACCTCTTCAGACCTTACACAGTCATGCAAAAGTCTACCCAAAAGTGCTTCAGTGGTCTTCCAAAAGCCTACTGACTGGTACTCAACTTCCTTTTCCTTTAAAGAGGACAACGCCCCTCCTCATTAGCGTCATCTGGTACTACCGCACCTAGCCTGGGCTGTTAGGTACTGGTTTATTTTGCTGGTTTCTGGGAGTGCACGAGTTTAAAGGGCCACACGCTCGTTGGGTGGGTGGGTGGCTCACCGCGGAAGAGTGAGCCAGCCACGTGCACTGCCAGCACCTGGACTTGAGCTCCAATCCCTGGCATCCAGGTAAAAAGAAGAGCGTGTCTGAGCACTGGAGGGGATGGATGGAGGTGGAGCTCACAGGCCAGGCAGCCTAGCAGAAACAGATATGCTCTGGGGGTTGTTGGCGTATGGCCCAGTGCTTTCTACTTGTTAATTGCCTTCCCCCTCCCCCCAAATTCTTCCTCCTTAGGAGCAAACTGTTATGTACCCCAAGTATTGCTGTTTAACCTTGCCTAAGACATTCTTCCTGATTGGCTGATTTAAAAGCCTAAGCCTGGGCGGGGCTGAATAGGGTAGGCTCCGCCAAAGTTCGAGGGGTTTGGCAGAGAAGAAGCACAGGAAGAAGGCAGATGAGAAGAAAGGAGAGAGGAGGAAGCCGTGATGAGCTAGTGTGGAAATGAACCACACGGGCCAGTAGAAAGGACTCCGAAAGTGGCATAGAAAGAAACAATCCAAATGAAGAATAAAAGCAAGTATTTATAAGATTATGGATGGAAGGTAGCCCAGATAGGACTAGTTAAGGCAGATGGCATTGAATGGCAGTGTGTGTGTGTGTGGGTGTGGGGGGGTGTTATTGAAATAGCGTAGGTGAAAATATCTGCCCAGCCCAAGGTGTAGTAAGGCAATTATAAAATCTAACAGGTGTCTGTGTCTTGTTGACTGTGATAACAGGTTAGATACTGCTATATTAATTATAGGGCTAATAATAAACATATTTTGCCCGACACCTTTATTCTCAACAACGGGGGTCTCAAGAGAGTAAAGTGGAGAGAGAGAAGAAGACAACTGGCCACCATGTCTGTGCATCCTGAGATGGGTACTGTACATGCAACACACCACACGCGCGCACAACCACTTACAGGCATGCAATCACGAACGCACCAGCCCCTCCCTTCACACACGCACAAGCACGCAGATTCACATGCATTCAGTTCTGCCAACTGGGAGCAAGACGTTGGAAAGTCAACTATGACTTGAAAAGAGCTTTTTATGGTTGGTTGGTTTTATCTGTTAAATCAAATTAGTCTAAATGAGAAAAAAAATCAAATTAGTGTGCAAATTAGTCTAAAGATTGATGGCTTATAACTTCCTTATGCTGTGCCTGTTTGGCCCCTTTGCCCGCAGACACAGACCTTTCCTCAGCCGCTCTTCTGACGTGAAGAACCAGCCAGCCTCCATCTCACAGAAAAGACAAACGAGGCTCATTTCTGTTTACGATTAAACCTGTTTCTTAAGAAGTGGGCCACATTCCACCTGTAACCTGTAACCTTAACTACAAATGGTTCTGTACATGTCTTTTTTTTTTTTTTTTTTTTTTTCAAAAAGCTATTGAAATCATCTTGCAACCCTACCTACATTTCAAAAAGTTGTTGTGACAACCTGCTGTTATGGCTACCTTATGCCCACCTTGACATCATGTCTTTGTTTCGGGAGGTTGTTATGACTAACTTGTTATGACTAACTTGTTATGCTTATGTCCTGCTCCTGGAACTCAGCCTATTGTGCTTGCCAAACCCCCCCCCCATTTGGAAACCCCCTACCCCTGAGCTATAAAAACCTTGTCTTCCTGACATCCATGCTGACCTCTTGAATCCTGCCTTAGGGAGGCAGCCAAGGTATAGGAATAAAAAGCTTGCTTTGATTAATGGCATGCTTTCATTAATTGGCCATGATGGAGTCGGTGGTCCTCCTTCAGTCTTTGGGATTAACAGAAGGTGACCAGCACAAGAGTGCTTGTCCAGGCTTCTGCAAATGCTGACAGGATTTGGACAGGGGGAGGGGCTGCCAGGAGATTGGAGTGGGCCAGGAAGAGAGAAAGCAACATAGCCCTCTCTTGTGGGCTTCAGGAGGCCTCTCCAGCAGCCGCCAGTCTTCTTCGTGGAATGGCATCCCTGCCTGTCCCAGGGTGATCTGCAACTTCT